CTCTGTCTCTGGTGAATCCTCTCATCCCCCACATCTCTACTCCAGTTCTTGTGTGCATAAATAAATAAATCTTTAAAAAAAGAGAGAGATTTGGAAAATAAAATATCATTTCAGTAGATACAACAAAAGCCTCGGGTGATATCCAACATTCAATCCTGATTAAAACTTCCAATAAATTAGGCATAGATGGAATTTCTTTAAACTGATGAAGATCAGCTATGAAAACCCTACAGCTGACATAATATCTAGTCTTGAGTGCTTAAATGCTCTTCTCTAAGGTCAAGAACAAGGCAAATATTAGCAAGTCCTACTTCTAATCAACATTTACTGAAGGTTTCAGCCAATGCAAAAATGCAAGAAAATGAAATATAGGATATTCATATGGAAAAAGAAAAAGTAAAATTGTCATTATTTGCAGATAGTAGGATTGTCCATACAGAAAATCATACGGAATATTAAAAAAATGATTAGATATAATGTGAGTTTAATGAGTTTTATTATACAAGGTCACTATACAAAATTCATTTTTATATAGTAGCAATAAACAATAACAGAGTGACATCAGAAAGAACTTCAAAATGTATCAGAAATGTGAAATATTTAGAGAAAAATGTTTCAAAATATTTTCAAGGATTGTGCATGAAAATATAAAAAGCTTAGCTGAGACAAATTAAAGAAGACCTATAGAATGAAGATATATACTGTATTCATGAATTAGAGGACTCAATATTGTCTAGTTGCCAATTCTCCCCATACAGATCATACATTCAACACAATCCCAAACAAAATCCCAGCAGACTTTGTTGTACAAATTAACAATATGTTTCTAGAATTTGTATGGAAATACAGAGCAACTAGAATACCCTTAACAATTTTGAATATGAACAATAAATAGAGTGCTTATACCTGACTTTTAAGATTTTAGGATAAATCTGCAATAATTGAGACAATGTGATGTTGGAATCAAGATATAAGGAAATACTATGCACATAAGTTAACCTATTCATGCACAGTCAATTTTTTTCAAATGTACAAAAGCAGTTTAAGAAAGAATATATTTTTTCAAGACATGTCTTTGAGATAATTGGTTGTCCACATGCAAAACAAGAAAACCAGAAAAACATAGAAAGAAAAAGTTTGATTTATTCCATGCATCACATATAAAATTTAATTTAAAGTGGATTATAAATTTACATATAAATCTAAAATTATAACACCTCTGATACCTTAGGTTAGGCAAGTATTTCTTAGATATGAACCAAAAGTATGGTTCAAGAAATAGAAGAATGGGTAAATTAGACTTGATCCATATTGGATCTTCTGCTCATCATAAGACATGATTTTGAGAATTAAAAATATCTTCATACATCTATTTAAGTATAAATGTTCATAACAACTTTCTTTTCAATGGTCAAATATTTAAAATATCCAAAATATTCATCAACAACTTGTGAATGGATAAATGAGTTGTGCCCTGTCTGTGTAACAAATATACTACTCAACAATACAGTGAATGGACAGGTGATACAGAAAATAACATGACTGAAACTCAAAATAATTATGCTGAATGAAACAAGTCAGATAAAAAAGAGTATACATGGTACGATTTCATTTATAACCAATTGTAGAAAATGCATAATTACATCTAGTGTCAGAAAGATCAGTGGTCCGCTGAAGATGTAGGGAGATGTGAGAGAAGAAGGTATTATGAAATGGCCTCAGGAAACTTTTTTTGGACAATAAATATGTTTATTGTCTTCATAATGGTGACAGTTAAAGAATGCATGTATCAATCGCATAAGCTTATGTTAAAGCATATTAAATTATGTGCTTCAAATAAGGCAGTTATTGTATACCGAAATATAACCTATTAAAATTTTAATGATCCCAAACTGTAGGCATTAAAGCATTCTCAGCTTCTCATATCAGTTATTTATAAGAGTGAAAAGTAAAGAGTGAAAAGTGCTATGACTTTTAATTAATTCTCCTTCATCCTTCCTTTAAAGAATGGTAAAACTAGTTCTTTAATATCTGACACCTAAAATTTAAAAATAAACCTGAAGATAGAAATATCTAAAAGGCTAAAACAGGGCCTCCCCGGTGGCTCAGCGGTTGAGCACTGGGTTGCAAAGCTGCCTGCGGCCTCTGAGGTGCTCGTTTGATCCCCGGCTGCTCCCCGGCCACAGGAGGAGGGTCCCACATGGCGCGCAGACCTCTCCTGCCCGCTGCTCCCCTCAGCAGTGTGCTTCGGTCCTTCTGCCTGCTCTGCTCCCCACTCTGGCTCTGGTGAATTCTCTCACCCTCCCGGGCTTCTGACTGTACCCAGTGCTTGTATAAATAAATAAATAAATAAATAAATAAATAAATAATTTTTTTTTTTTTAAAGAAATATCTAAAAGGCTAAAACAATGGGGATTAACAATTTTCCTCCTTCCCTTACTGAATAAGAACCAAATTTTTTGACTTGAAAACTTTCTGGTGAAAAATGTATATGCATCATGTTGTATCTCTAGATTTTGAATACATGTTAATCAGGTATTACTCAGTAAGCTTTTATTTGGAAGAAATAGAGGTGTAAGAGGTTTCTCCTAATTTCTTCCAATCTAGTTTTTCACACAAAACATTCAATAGCAATATAAGGAAGAATATACATCAGTAGTGTTATCAGGAGCCACAAAAACCCCAATGTGATGTAGAATCATTGCCACCAGAGACAGATATGAAGATTAAGGACAGAATTGGAGATCTTCAAGGAAAGGATTCTCACTTGGTGGAAATATAGAGAAGAGTTGAGGCTAAAGTTGAGTAGAAGGGAATAAGAGTAGACCTGCAATGGCATGACTGCAATCTTCTAGTTCATTTCAAGAAAGCAGCCATTTGGCAAGATGGAGGATGCTGTACCCCTGGACCGTAGCTTGTTTAGCACTATCTCCCATTCTATAATTGGCTTTTCATGTAGTCTACCTCTACCCATGTTTAAAGACTATTCAGACCAGAATGATGAATGTATTGGGTACTTCTGGCCTCCTACAGGCATATTAATAACTCTGAGCTACTAGAACAAGAGAAATTACCTCTGACTTTTGGAAGTATTCTCGTCTTTATTGTATTTCTTTTCCTTTCATTTTTTGATGTATTTTCCCCTTCTGGGTATGCCAGGTTCAGATCCTGTTGTTTATAGAGAACTGGGCAATTTTCAAGAATTAGAGAATCTTTATTTCAAAGAAAATGCTCTTGTTAAAGGCCTAAATGATTTTGAGATCTTTTTTTTTTTTTTTTTAAATTTTTTTTTTTTTTTATAGAGGCATGTTCCATTTATTTATTTGTCTGCTTGTTTGTTTGTTTTTTTGTTTATACATGCACTGGGTACAGTCAGAAGCGCGGGAGGGTGAGAGAATTCACCAGAGCCAGAGCGGGGAGCAGAGCAGACAGAAGGACCAAAGTACACTGCTGAGGGGAGCAGCGGGCGGCAGGAGAGGTCTGCGCGCCATGTGGGACCCTCCTCCGGTGACCGGGGAGCAGCCGGGGATCGAACCGGCGCCGCAAAGGTTGCGGGCAGCTTCGCAACCCAGCGCTCAACCGCTGCGCCACCGGGGAGGCCCCGATTTTGAGATCTTTAATGTCATTAGCACTTCACAAAGAATGGGGCTAGATTTGATTCTAAGATTTTATTATTTCACTAAAGTGTGTTGTCTCTGAGATTTGAGTTGAAATTCTGACTTCTATTACTTTAGAAGAATTACTTTACCTCCCCAGTTGTAGTCTCCTTATGTGTATACTATAAATAATACATCATCTAAAATTCAGTTCTAAAACGAAATTGCATAAACAAAGCAACTGACAGAGAGTTTTACCCATGTGTGAATCAACAATGATTATGGTTATTATTGTAGTTCTAACAGTCTTTCAGTCATTTTCATTTTTCTCTTGATTTTTTCCCCTAATTCTGTGACATGCCTCTTCACTTGCAATGTTACCTCCCAAGTTAAATAAAGTTTTCTCTGTTGCCTATGATGTCATAATAGTCTATAACTGTTTTTCCTACCACTTGGCTCTTTCTTCTCTCTTTTTTCATTTATCCCATGACTTAACTTTAAAAAATACATAACTTCTAAGGATAAAAGTGTTCCTGTAAATGAAGAAGAGTAGAAATAAGAAGGTAGACTTCTATATAAGTCTATAAAAACTGTAAAATAAAATCTCTTTAACCTGGTATTTAAGCCCTTTTCAATACATAGAGTAGTTTAGCATCATTCACTCACTTTTTGGAACAGTTGTCTCCCGACTCCTTACTCCCCATTAATAAGCAAATTTCTTTAGCTACATCTTGAATTATCTTCTGTCACCTCAGATTCTAGAAATGTTTGTGTGTCTGTGGTAGTTGCTTTCACTATATACAATAAAGACATTGTATATAATTCTTCAGAGACAATTTGAAGCTTATCTTTGAGTCTGCTTGGAAAAATATGGGACATATATTTTACAATAGACATTTAGCATAATTATTTCATCAATCCTCATAAAATACTAGAAAATTGATATTTTACATATCATTACTATTAAAAGAGGACACTGAAACACCACGTATTATAAAATTTCTACAAGATTGATGATTGGTGTGATCAGGATTAGAATAACTGTAGGTACTTAAAAATCCATGTTATTTCTATTACTTAGTTATATACATTGTTCAGTAGGAGAATAGGTTAAGACATTTTCTATGTAATCTTGGGTAGGTCATTTCCTCCTAGTGGACAAAAAAATCTAGCTACATCCTAAAAAAAGTACTTTCTTCTCTAAAAATAGGTGATGAAAGCTTTATTTATTGTCTGCACATATTTTTGTGATCAGTATTCTTCAGTGTGTTATATACACTTCTATATTTATTTCATACAAAATAAAGGATTGCTTACCAAAATAAATGAGGCTATGAATAGCACTCCACATACCTTAGCACAAAAGACTTATCAATAGATCTTGGCTCTGAGCAACCCAGAAGATTAGGAGATTGGACTGCCCCCTGGAGACTCTGGAGATCCTCTGGACAGAAGTCTTCGCAGTGCACGCTTCACCTCCTTATTCCGCAGAGTATAAATGAAAGGGTTGAGCATGGGAGTGACTATAGTATAGAAGACAGCAGGTGCCCCAGCGCCTACCTCGCTGGAGCTAGGCTGCAGGTAGATACAGACAGGTGGCATGTAGTATAAGAGCACCACTGTGAGGTGGGAGCTGCAAGTGGAGAAGGCCCGCTGGCGACTCTCAGAGCTGCGGATCCGCAACACAGCTGCTACGATGAAGATGTAAGATATGATGATGAGGATCAGACAACCTGCAGCCACAATGCCGATGTTGACAAGCATGACAAGCTCATTAATGGTGGTGTCAGCACAGGCCAGCTTCAACACAGGGGGGATGTCACAGAAGAAGTAGGCAATGTGGTCAGGCCCACAGTAGCGCAGGCGGAAGGTGAGGAAGGTATGGATTGCAGAGTGCACGGCACCTGTGGCCCAAGTGATCCCAGCCAGCGCTGCACACATCTGCCTGTTCATGGCCACTGGGTAGTGGAGGGGTTGACAGATAGCCAGGTAGCGGTCGTAGGCCATGACTGTGTATAGGAAGCACTCGGTGCTGGCCAGGAAGTGGAAGCAGTAAAGCTGTACAACACAGCCCTCAAAGGTGATCACCTTCCCATCCAGAGCTAAAAGGCCTGCCATGACCTTGGGCACTGTGACTGTAGACAGACATGCATCCAGAAAGGAGAGGTGTCCCAGAAAGTGGTACATGGGGGAGGCCAGATGAGGGTCAGAGCCCACAGTGATGAGAATGAGGAGATTCCCAGTCACCGAGATGGCGTAGATGATGAAGAAGAGGAGGAAGAAGAGGCTCGGGTGTTCAGCTGTGTACATCAGGCTCTCCAGGAAGAAGTAGCTCACCTCTGTCTGGTTGGGGTCCTCTGTCTTCAAAGCCATGCTTTCACACAGACTGACTAGTTAGCTGCTTTGCAATATAGCTGACGTTAGCTGATATAAAAAGTAGCCATTCCACTTTCCTGAACTACCATTAGCTATTTTCCCTGGTCCTTATGGTCTTGACCTCTGAACTAGAGAAATATATCTAGGTTTGTTTCACTGAGGTGGGCTGTTCTAAGGTTTTCTTGCAGCCCCTTGTTGCAATGAATCTTGCAATATGGAATCTGTCATCTTTGTGGGACATATGAAGGATTGCAAGGATTATTTGGAGAAATGTACTCACTAAATAATAACAATTAAAGATGGATCTTAATCTCTTGGAGTATATATTTTTTGCATATTTTCCAGAATGGTGATGCCTCTGTATTCTTAATTCACTCTGCCGTGCTGCAGACATTGGCAGTCAGGTTCTTATTGCTGTGGGTCATTGGGGAGTTTCATCCAGTCTTTTGAGGACCCTGATCTAGTTTGTGGACTTTTTATTACATCAGTCAGGAATACAGCAATCCCATCCTTTCTTTACCAAGAGGGAGTTCTTAGAATATCAACCACCCAAACCAACTCTCAGGTGCATGACAATGAAGCCTTGGAGAATTGACTGAGTAATTATCAGGATAAATTGTTCAGTTCATTTTGCTCTTCCAGTAAAGTTCGGTTTCAGTCCTTGTGGAAATGTTTCCTATGCCTTTATAGTTGAGCTTGAATTGAAATTTGAGATTTCCCTTTTACTTTTTCTTTTCTTTGCCTCCTAAATCTAATTTGATGTTGAATTATGTGAGAAATTTCTTTGAATTGATTATTTCTGTTGTCTCTTCAGTTCCCATGGATTCTACCTAACCCTGCCTCTGAATATTTTTATATGTAGATTTTTACGATGGTGTTTTCTGTTCCATGGCTCATTCATTTTCTAATACAGCAAATGTTTCTGTATTCAGCTTCCTTGTCAGTCTTCTGAAATCTACTTATTTGTTTCCAACTGTCCAAGGCATAAGTTGTATCTCTGTGTTAAAAATTATCTGTAAACTGTTTACATTATTGTCACAAATTCTTTTTCTTCTTCTTCGAATTATTTTTTTGTTGGAAAAACTCCCTTACCTGGAGTGCTTTTTGCTACTTCTCTTCCTCAATTTGTCATAACCTCTCTCTGAGCTTATCACAGCATTCCATTTTTGAACATGAATGGAATTCCTTTAATCTTTACCTTCACAAATCTCTTATCTATGGTTAAGTTTGAATACTAACTTCTCCATAAGCCCTTCATAAATAATTTATCCCACCTTGACTTAATCATTCCAGCAACTTAGGTTATTAATAATAATAAATAGGAATGAATTCCTAAGCAGGTATCCTTTGGTCTACTTTAATGTTCCATATATTTATGTCGCATCTCCCTAAGAGAAACACAGGCAAAAATATCTTTTGTGTTTTTCAGTTTCCATGAATATTTGGGATATAACAGTAAAAATATTAATACTAATGAGCCAAGTCTATTTGTAGTCATAAAGTTAAATTCATATTCCTGATCATCCACATATTAGCTGAAAGAGAGGAATCATGGTGCTAATAGAAGCATGGAGTAGAAAATTTAGAAATAAGCAAAATAAAACTCCAACCAGTGAATTGTATTCCTCCAGTAGGATTAACTGTTAATTCCCTGAATTGCACTCCCTATATAGTGCCTTCTCATGATCAACCATTAACTTTTCCAACTCCAGTACTGGAAACTTAAAGACCTAATTGTGTTCTATACCTAATATAAGACTGTTGGGGAAGCCAGTCACCTTGACTCCTGTCACCTAGACTGCCTGCCTCCTGGATGAGTCTGTGTGAAGATAGGAATGATATACTTCATTGTTAAAACCATCTATGGAATCTGCCTGAGGCCAGGAATTGGAGGTGGGGGAGAGATGTTTAACCATCTGTGTAGAAAACCAACCTAACTCCAAACTGAGAAATTCCAACAAAAACAATAAAAATGGCATCTAAGAAGGCCATATAAGGATACCTTTTGCTCTGGCAAAATGCAGTTTCTTACCCTTGAAGAACTACCCATTTGCATCTATGCAAATGTCCCCTTTTTTTCTTTTTCTCTTTATTTAATCAACTTGCCTTTTAAAATGCACATTTTACCTGTTTGTGTCTATGCAAATGTACTTTTCCTGTCTCATTCCTTAATGAACTTGACATGCATTAATAAACTTGCAGTGTATTGCTGAATGGAAATCCATCTCAGAAACAAGAGCCCCACTCAGTGAACCCCCAACAGTGCTTAATTTATTCCACATTCATCAAATTTATTTATCATTGATTTTATTTATTGATGTAACATTAGTTTACAATATTGTACATGATTTAGAGGGATAGGATTACATGCTTCAAATGTATGTCACACCACACCCACCACCAAGGCACCCATAGTCCTTTACCATAGTCCATTATGCCTCCTCTCCTCTTTGCTCTCCCTCCTTTCTTTCCCCCTCTGGTAGCTTTGATTCTACAGTCAGATTTCTATGATTTTTAATTGGTTCTTTTTTAATATGACCCTTTCTCTTGCTTCTCTAAATTTGACCTACAAGTGATACCATCCAGCACTTTTCTTTGTCCTTCTGGCTTAGCAATGCTTTGCTCAGCATAAACAGCTCCAGTTCTATCCATGTTGTTGCAAATGGCTAGATTTCATCTTTTTTAAAAATCATTGAGTTGTATTCCATTGTGTGTGTGTGTGTGTGTGTGTGTGTGTGTGTATCATCTTGATCTACTCATCCATCTTTGGATACTTAGATTGTTTCCATAACTTGGCTATTATAAATAGTGCTACAATGAATGTAGGAGTGTGTATATAATTTTGAATTAGGTTTTGTTTTTTTTTTTGCATTCCTTGGGTATATATTTAGGAGTGGAATTTCTGGATCACATGGTAGATCTATTTTTAATATTTTGAGAAAAATCCATATGGACTGGACCAGACTGTATTCCCGCCAATAGTATTTGTTTTTCTCCATATCCCTGTTAGAACTTGTTTCTGATCTTTTTGATATGAGCCATTCTTACAGGTGTGAGGGGGTATCTCGCTGTGGTTTTATCTGCATTTCCCTAATGATAAATGATGATGAGCATTTTTTCATGTGCTTGTCGACCATTTGTATGTCTTCTATGAAAAGTATCCATTTAGCTCTTCTACTCAAATTTTTTATTGGGTTATCTGTTTTTTTGTTGTTGTTGTTGCATTGTATGAGTTCTTTGTAGATCTTTAATCTCAGTACCTTGGCAGATGTAGTGTGTTCAAATATATTTTTTCCATTGGCGTTGAAGGAAAAAATGAAAAATGTATTTGAAAGTAGATTATTATATGGAATTTTCCAGAGTTCCCTCCTTTGTACCCAGCATTCATCTACTCTTTGCTAGAATTCTTTCTCTTTCTATCTTAAATATCCCCAGTTATCTGGTATCCCATCCCAGTGCCCTTAATTTTAGTGTCTACTGCATGTTTGAAATGTGTTCAGTCACTGAGGTTGCATATCCTTACGCCCTACCAGTCTCCATAATGCTGCTTTCATCTCTTTGTTGCGGAGTGTGTAGATAATGGGGTTAAGCAAGGGAGTGATGACAGTGTAGAAGACAGCTACCACCCCATCCAGGGGTTCCTGTGATCCAGGTCGAAGGTAAATGAAAGTGCAGGGTACATAGTAAACAATGACAACAGTGAGATGGGCGGCACAGGTGGAGAAGGCATTGCGGCGCCCATCAGCAGACCGGATACGCAGGATGGCAGCCACTATGTAGCCATAGGAAGTGAGGATAAGCCCAAAGCAGGTGAGCGCCAGGAAGCCAATGTCCACAAAGGTTACCAGTTCATTGATGGTGGTGTCAGCACAGACTAGACGCAGTATAGCAGGTATGTCGCAGAAGAAGTAGTCTACCCTGTTTGGACCACAGAAGGGCAGCCGGAATATGAAGCTTGTCTGGAAAAGTGAGTGGATGGTGCCTCCCATCCAGGTGCCAAATGCCAGATAGTTACAGACACTACGAGTCATGATTGTTGCATAGTGTAAGGGCTTACAAATGGCCAAGAAACGATCATAAGCCATGAGTGTGTAAAGGAAGCATTCAGTGCAGCCGAGGAAATGGAAAGAAAAAAGTTGGATCACACAGCCCCCAAAGGAGATAATCCTACTATCCAAGAGAAATCCAGCTAGCATCTTCGGAACAATGGCAGTGGAAATGGTCATGTCCAAGAAGGAGAGGTGACATAGGAACCAGTACATGGGGCGGTGGAGTCGGACATCCACCAAGATAGTGAGGATGATGATTCCATTGCCAGAAACAGTGAGAACATAGATGGCAAGGAATGCCAGGAAGAGTGGTACCCCCAACTGTGGTGGGTAGTGTAGACCCACCAAAATGAAATGGGATACAGAAGTCTGGTTTCCGCTTTGCATTTCCTTGCTGTTTACATCTGCCCAAAGAAATAGTAGAAAGAAATGCTCAATGCTCTTCAAATTCTCTAGGCATGCCACATATATTCTGTGTTACTCCCAAATATGGACAGAAAATGATCTCAGGCAGAGAGATCTTGCTGTTGCTGTAATTCTTGTCCTTAATCATTCTTTCTCCTCACACTTCCCCATCCCCCACCCTACTGTCCTGCTTCTGAGATTCTGCTTGGTTCCAGGGTTCTCTCCAATAATAAAAACTATATAACAGATTATGAATATTTAATTCAGAGGAGTGAAGGAAAGTCCATACATGAAGCTTTTCATGTTGGAAGAAACACTACCATGCAAAATCTAAATCTGTCTATGAAGAAATGGACTCTTCTGATTTTCTTCAGTTTGATCTCTGATCTGTGTGCCAGAGAATAAGGTTACAGATTATTTATTTTTAAAAGAAACAGCATTGGAATTTTATTAAATGTAAATGTGTTTAATAAAAATCTGTGCAGCTTTAAAGTATATGGTACAATTTAGATTGTATATCAAACACCATATATTCGGAATCTCTGAAGTTGT